GATTTCAATGGTGACGTCAGTGATGACGCTGATGGTGACGAAATGATGAACGCGGTCAATGCTTATTATGAAGACGAATGCAATGTAGTATTTGTAGATCTGGAGCGAGATTAATAGATTGGCTCGTTGAATGATGTAAAAAATTGGTGGCTGTTTGCTTCTTGCTGCTATTTACTGCAAAATCTTATAGAAACAATTTGCTGGAACAATTTATTAAAACAATAAAAGCAAAGAATTCATCAACAACTCATCACAGCAAATAATTTGGGCAAGGATCGGTTCAACTTGTTTTGCAGCTTTCAACTTATATTTTAGAACAACATTAGTCTAAGTAAAAAAATCAAACAATTAATCAATAAATTAATCAGTTGGATAGAGCATTCAAAAAAAGATCAGCCATGGTTTTACAGTCATATAATAAATGTATAAACAAATAAATAATTTTTCAACATTGGAATAAATTGTCACTTCATGACACTGATCAAACAAATAAATAAATAGATAAATATTTATTTATTTTTGACAAATGAAACTTTCTATTCAATGTCTTTCTAACAGAATTCAAGTCAAATAATGAAGCGCATTCCCATTTACAACACAAATATAAATAGTCATTTCATTGATTATATTTTCAATTTTTCAACATTAGAAAAATTATAAAAAATGAAAATCTCATTTGAAACATCAATTTTGCATCAAAAAACCAAAATTTTATTTAATTGCATTGTCATTATATCAAAAAATTTATTTCACAAAATATAGGATAATGCGCTGCTTAGCTTATTTTTAGTTTCATAAAACTCATTCCCATAAATTATATGATTAAAAACATCAATTGAATAAACCTTAGCATTATAACATATATAATTATATAGGGAAGCTTTTAAATACCTGTTCTATGGAGTCATGCAATATTCAAAAAATTATTTTTTCTTTAATGGGTGACAAAATAATTTAATTTATTCCATATACATAATTTTGTTTAGTGGATTTGTTTTATTTTAATATAATGTTCAGTTTTACATGTTGGCATAATTGTTTAATCAGCAAAAAAGAGACAAAATCATTTTTTCTGGAAATAAAAATTCACAACAACATAGTTATTTTCCAGGTTTTTCTATATTGACTAGACATTTCGTTTTAATCATTCTTCTCTCCGGAAAAATATTTATTCTAAGTTCATCAGCTGAGTTACGCTGCCTCAGCCAGCGTTCCACACATTGCAATCGTTATAATCTGAGTAAACTGGCTTAAGAAAATTCGGTTGATGAGTGCGGTTGAATGTTTTTAAACTGGAAAAAGTTAGAGTGCTTCAAACGTGTCTTGTTGCTTCATATTTTATTTTTTTTTAAATAAAGTAATTAAATCTAAAAAAAAATATCGAAAATTGAAAAAACTTGAAATAATTACTCTTAGTAATCTAAGATGGGAATACGTGCATGTAATTCTCAGCTATGTGTACATGTTTTTAGTTTTTTTAATCTTTGTTTATATTATATATACATTATACATATATTATATATATTATTAAGACCAGAAGCGTAGCTTATTTGGCCATTAAAAATAAACAGAAACACTATATATATATATATATATACTATATATATATATATATATATATATGTATATATCAAATCAAATTTTGTGTTTATATAGCGCCAATTATAATTGCTTATCATTAGCGCTCTTCTCGTATAATGCATGTTGAAAGCAAAGCCATCATCTGTGGAGATAACTAAGAGTTACCAAATAGGTATGTCTTTAGACGTTTTCTAAACTTAGCTAATGATAACCCAGATATACATAATTCGATATGTAGGCTGTTCCAAAAAATAGGCCAAGCAACTGCAAAATCTCTATTGCTGTTTTCTGCGTGTTTGAAGCAGCAGACCTTAGACGCTCATGTAATGACATAGATAAAACTCTAAAACATTTATCTTCTAAATATTTTGGTGCCAAACCATTCAAGCTTTTAAATACCATTACATCCAACTTGAACATGATTCTTTGTTTAACACGCAGCCAATGCAACTCCTTTAGATTTGGTGATGCACGATCAAATTTTTGCGGAATATCATTCTAACAGCCTGGTTCTGAGCCATCTGAAGTTTAGACAACAATTTATAAGCTATATCATATAGAAGATTGTTACAAAAAACCAATCTAGAGTTGACGAAAGCATGTACTAATAATGTCATTGTATCTCTATCTACCGGTTTTGTGACTTGGCGTAACTGACGTAGTAGGAACATTTTTTAACCCATAGACTGACTTGTGGACCCATTGTCATACGAGAGAACATCACAATTCTAAAATTGGTGGCCGTTTTACCGAAACTTATATCAGTCATACTGATGTTAATCGAGTAAGGCTCAACCGCTGACGTCTGTTGCCATGTACCAGCCAACAAGAACTGAGTCTTAGTCTGATTCAACTTTAGCTTACTTTGACCCAGCCACGAGCCGACATCAGATATAGTTTTTGTCAGAGATACAATATATATATATATACATATATATATATATATATATATATATACATATATATATATATGAGATTAAGACTGTTAGAAATGCAATTATTGATAAAAATCACAGGATGTTTCGCGTTAGTTAACATCCTTTTTAATTTTTCTATTTTTCTAACGGTTGAAAGTAAATCATTCTCAAGTTTCTTGAGTTCAGAGCCAAAATTTTTTTTATTTATGAACACCAACTTTAATAACTAATTACTTTTAATAAACTGGATAATAATTACAAAATTACCATTAGAAATCGTACACTTACAAAAGCTATATATATATATATAAACATATATATATATATATATATTATATATATTATATATATATATTATATATATTATATATATATATATTATATATATATATATTATATATATATATATGATCCGCTAGAATTCAGGTCGATCGATAACCGTTTCCACCAGTTTGAGAGTATTTTGTCTTGTTCAAGTAAAACATGCTGCCTCGACCCTATTCCAACACACTTCTCTTGGTGAAATTTGTTGATACGCTTTTGCCATTTTTATCTAACCTGGTCAATAAATGTTGCAAACATCAACGTTACCCAGGTCCCAAAAGATTGCAGTAGTTAATCCGTTGTTGAAGATTAACCTGGTCTAGCGAACAACGTCTCGGCCAATTACAGACCTATTTTGAACCTTACCTTTGTATCCAATACAATTGAAATAATTGTCGCTCGCCAGCTCCTCGCTTACCTGAACAAAAACTCACTACTTCCAAAAGTTCAATCAGGTTTTCTTCGAGCACATTCAACTGAGACAGCGATCTTGAAGGTGGTTTCAGAAGTCTGTAAAGCTATTGATGCTGATAACATATCATTGCTGTCAGTAATTAATGGCATAACATATCATTGCTACTTTCAACACAGTTTACCAGAAGATTGAAGCGTCTTTCTACCTCATTTGATATTGGTAAAATTGCTCTCAGGTGGTTCCAGTCCTACCTAGCAGACAGGTCTCAAGTTGTCAGCGTTGATTGAGGTGGTCTGGACACGGCTTTTTCAGAATTAATCTGCGATGTACCACAAGGTTCAGTACTTGGTCCTTTGCTATACATTATGTACACTGCAGATATCGTCAACGTTGTAAAAGCAGTCGGCCTTGGCTGTCACCTATACGCTGATGATATTCAACTTTATGGATTTGGACTACTTGACTCATCACTTCAAGTCTCCTCTGCCGTGTCGAACGCAGTAGACTTGGTTGGTCGCTAGATGTCATCTAACATGATTAAACTCAATGTCAAAAAAATTCAATATTTGTGGATGGGAACGCCGCATGGCCTCATCCGTTTAAATGACCACAAAAATCCAGTAACGAATCTCGAAGTCATACTGGATCCTCATTTTTCATTTGAAAAGCATATTAGTCAACTCTGCCAGCGATGTTTCTACCAACTCCACAGAATAAGATTCATTGTTTGGTGTCAACTCATCTCTTTGTGATTTGCAGTTTGTTCTGTTTGAGACTTGTTGTGGGTTATTCGAAATTCGATTCAATTTCATCATACACCAGGGATGATTTACACTGGCTCCGCATGCCAGAAAGAATCGTTTTCTAACTAGCTCTTCTAGACAGAAATTGTCTTGCAGGCAGTAGCGGATTAAGTCAAGCGGGGGCCCTAAGCAGAAAAAAATTTGGGGCCCCAAACTTAGTGTGCCGTGGAGAGGCTTTTTAACTTTCAATTATTTCCAACTTATAACTGTGTAGGCAATATACATCTTTGAACTAAAAACAACTTTTAACGAATTTGAATATATTTTGTCGACAGATTTGTTACAAACATTAATATATTAAGTGCGAAATTTTTAAAATATTAAACACTGAATTATTCAAATTAAATGTTCAAATTCCTTTTATTTACAAACACAACACACACACACACCCACACACACACACACACACACACACATATATATATATATATACATATATATATATTATATATATATTATGGAACGTGTCCGCGTTCATTTAAGGCTCTTCCAGTGCTTAGTGTTTTGGGTTTGTCTTTTTCCTATGGTGAACACCCTTCCTGGGATACAATCATTGCAAATATTTTTGTCGAGCGCCATTTCAGACTTCATGCTATTTGTGATGTGCTTCATAGATTAAAATTTGGTCAAATACAAATATTTAAAAAAAAATACAGAATTTCCAAATAGTCAAAAAAATATGTTTGACAATAATGTAATTCGAAAAGAAGATTAAAAGAGATCATTGGAAAATAATAATCGACAAACAACATTTTTTTCAAATAAATTTCTTCCTAGCTTTACTTCTTGCAAATTCATCAATAATTTTGGCATGTCAACACTATTCATTATTTCTTGTTCTATATACAAAACAGCTAAATTATTTAATTTTTGTTCCCCCATTGTACTCCTCAAATGGTTTTTAATTCTTTTCAAAACAGAAAAAGATCTTTCACCAGATGCATCAGATAAAGGAATAGTTTAAAAAAAATTCAATAATATTTCAATATTGGGAAATGTGCATGACATTTTTTTAGCGGCTTTATACATTCTTTCAAAGGATAAATCTTTGTTATTACTTGAATTATCTGGCTTATTCATAATGGCGTCCACATTTTCCTTCAAAAAAAATAAAAAATGGTTTAGTTCATCTTCCAAATTACAAGCATCAATGTCATTTCTGTAAATATTTTTCAATTCTTTCAATGGTTTTTGTTTTTTTTCTTCTGACAAATTCCAATCAAGAAATATACGAAAATGTTCCAAAACAACCTCATATTTTTGAACTCTTTGTAGCAATTGTGTTTTAATACTATCGCATATGACATTAAATGTATTGATTTTAAAATTATCTCTAGTTGTAAATTTATACTCTTCTTTATTTTCATCAAAAAACGCATTTCTTTTTCTTCTGTTAAAAGTTACTTCATCTTCCTCACTAAAAGATTGTAATCCTGATAAATCGGTTGCTTCTGTCATAACTTTTTCATAATCATTTCTGAAATTCTCAATAAAACTGTCTAATGATTTAAGTAGTATTGATCCTTTAAATAATTCACATTCTATTGATTGCAGTGACTTACTGGTAGAATTTATTCTTTGCAATTCCAAATAACAGTCGTAAGAGCGGTTTCGTATTTATTCATTTTTTTAAGTAGTGATGTTGCTTCAACTATAGTGATAGGTTTTTCATCCTGTTCATTGCATAGGTCAGTTAACGTTTCTTTTATTATTGTATATTTCAGTTTTAAAGCTAAACGGCATCAGCTCTTGCTGACCATCTTGTATCTGATACCCTTTTTAACGAGAGAGACTGATCAACATCTATTTTGCTGTTCAGCATTTTCCAGCGATGAGTTGATGATGAAAAAAATGTAAATAGCTTTTGCAAAAACATGAAATATTGAACCGCGGTGTTACAGCTCTCAGCACCAAAATTTCCAACTAAATTCAATGAATGGTTAACACAAGGAATAAAAACCGCACTCGGACTATGTTCTTTAATACGTGCTTGTAAACCTGAGTACTTTCCTGACATGTTCGAAGCGTTGTCAAAAGATTGACCTCGACAGTTTTTAATATCTAGGACAAATTTCATTAAAGTTTCTAAAACTTTTTTATCCAAGTATGAAGAGTTGTGCTTATCTATAGGAACGAACCCTAAAAATCGATCCTTTATCTTACCAGAAAATGAAACATATCTTATCACAAAAGTAAGTTGGTCAACATGAGCAATATCAGGAGTGGAGTCAATAATTATACCGTAATAAGTTGCCGATTTAATTTCTTCAATTATTTCAGCCCTTACTTGATTGCCAATGAGGCCTACAAATTCGTCACAAATATAAGATAAATAACTTGCATGACCCCGTCCTTGGTTTGCATATTTTTGTAAATGTAATTTTAAAAATTCATCATATTCACTTAAATATTCCGAACAGGTCAAATAATTTCCTTTTCTATTGGAATTTTTACTTTCATCATGACCGCGAAATCCTAATCCTAAGCGGCTTAATAACTGTATTGTTGAAACAATCCTTTTTAAAACTTCTCTCCAATAATACTCTTCTTTTTCTCTTTCCTAAAAAGTTGAGCATCAATTCTGCTCAAAGCAGTTGATCTTTTGTACAGAGTGAACATAGATGACATGTGTTCTTTTGAAATTTCATGGTCTGATAAAACAACTGTTATTGATCTCCAATTTTCAAAGCCAGTTATTAATTTGGACTTTTTCTTGGAGAAAAGTTTGCAAGGGTAACAATAAACGCACTTGCTAGTTTCGGAAAATACCAGCCATGTTCTTTTTTCCAAAACTCCGTTTGATTTTTTTCTATAAAAATGATCAATAGAGAGCCCTCTGCTGTAGTAAACATCATATTTTGTTCTTTAAACACCGATTTTAAGTTTTCTATATTTCCTATATTTTCTGGTTTATTTTTTAAAATATAGTCAATAAATGAATCAGACAAACTGGCTGGCCATAAGGCTATATCATTAATTTCTTCATTTTTCTTATTATACAATTTATCTGGATTTTCTGTCTTCTGTTATCTCACAATTTTTTCCATCAACCTGATGTTCACTTTCTCTTTCTTCTTCCCTTTTTTCAACACTTATTGGTCTGTGACAAGGTTCAAAAGAAGATGTTGATGGCACAGGTAACTGCTATTTACTAACAAATATTTATAAAATGCATTTTTCTGACTTTCAACAAATTCCTGGATTTTTAAAATTTTTTTTCTTTTTCCCGCTCCACTTTGATGTCTTTTCATTTTTGTACTATGAAAGAAGTCGTTTTTATTATATTAATTAATTAATTATTAAAATATAATTACGTTTTAATACCATCTATCTGCCAATTTTGAATTTTAATATTGAAACAATTCAATTAATTATAAAAGCCATTTGTAATTAATTAAAATGAAATTCATTTAATGAATTTATATCAAAAGTAAATAAAAATGTTTACCATTTAAGTTCTTGAAATAAAAGAAAAAAAACAGACAACTGAATAACGTTTTAATTATTTGACCACAATACTTTAAAAAAAAAACACGCGCTTTCAACAACAAAACAACGATACGATATTAAAGACAGAAAAGTAGGGATGTCCGAAGAAATATCACGGCAGTGAATAAAACGAATGACAGATTGTTTTCAAGCATATTACTGTAGACTGCAAATGTTTGAAAACGCTTATTAACGTTGAATTTAGCATAGTAATTTAAAGAATTTTTTAATAATTTCATTATATTTCAAAACTAATTTCAGTTATTTTTATAAAATACTTTTTTTTACGGGGCCCCCTTTCTATTAACAACAAATATTATTTAAAATTTTATGATTTTTTTTCAAATTTTGAAATTTCATTATATTGGAAAATTTATTTGAAGTATTGTTTGAGGGATAAATTTGTACACGGGGCCCCTTAGCCGTCCGGGGCCCCTAGCAGCTGCTCAGTCTGCTAAGCGTTAGATCCGCCACTGCTTGCTGATGACGCTCCAACTTATCTGTGGGAACAACTACAGTTAGTTTCCGAAATTGCAAATCGGAGTCGACTAAGATCCTGCGATAATGGTAATCTTATGCTTCCTAGATTCAATTCGTCTCGTTTTGGAAAGAGAAGATTTTTTATTTTGTCTGCAAAAATCAAAAACTCACTACTTGTAAATTTGAAAAAATTCAACAACCCGAGCCGACATGTTTTCAAGAAACGTTTAAAACATTATTTGTTGTGACACTCTCGCGCGAAGCTAGCGCTTCTGAAGTTATTCAATAGGGGCGCTCCACAAATCCTTAGATATATATATATATATATATATATATATATATATATATATATATATATATATATATATATATAAACAAGATGTATATATAAATTTTATAGTTATAGTGAATCCGTTTAAACCATAAACACGAGACACATCTGTCATTTACTCTTATAAAACACATCTAAAACCACGGATATAATGGATATGGCATAAGAATTGTTACCTGCCTAATAATTTTGCTTAGTTCTATAGAATTAAACGCGTAAACATTAAACATTTTTTCGTAGTAATTGACATTTTATTGATTTTTTGCGATCAAATGTCTTACTATAGACACATTTTTGTAATTAAATGTCAATAAATTGACAAAAAAGCAACTAAACAACTGGCTAAAAACTGATTGTTTACTTTAATTTAAACTCACTTTTCAACTTATATTTGTTAGATTTACCTTGATATTATATATATATGAACAATGTATATATATATTGATATATAACGCGTCTGCCATATCCATGTTATACACATCTTATCCATGTCTAAAACTTATAACGACTAGTATTAAAATCCTAGATCTTAAAATTTTGCAAAACTTTGTACACAGAAACATTAAAAATATTACAGATCTGCATCTATCCAAAAATAAGCTGAGATAACCTCTATCATTTCTTGAACCCGATATCGATATCGTTAATTATTGGAATTTGTTCACATTTATTTTCAATTTGGTGTTATATAATTTTGATTTAACAAGAATTTTTCAACTTTTATTTGTCAAATGTAACATTACTAAATATATGTAATGTATTAATATATATTTCTTGTGTACAATTCATGTAAAATTTACTTAGGGTGGGCCATCCACAATCTTTCTTCTAAACTTTTTTTGGTTCCTGTGAATAAACTATGTTATGTTATGTTAATTTGTACGCTCACATCCCTCTGTATGCTTCGATTCTACATATGTGCATAATAATAAAACTTTCTTATTCATTAGCATTCCATGGCTGTATGTTACGCTTTGCAAATAAAATGAATAAAAGGCTACAATTAGAGAAATTCCCGAAGAAGGCATTGAGTGAAAGAATGTGGATCTTCCAGCTGGTTATAAATAGAAGTTAATTTTGATTATTTGACAATTGTTGTTGAAAAATTTATAAAGATATTTTACTTAACGAAAAATTCTTGATTGGAATGCTGGGGTTGGAGGTTGTGGTTGGGATTGTGACTGATTAAAGATAGAAAAGTCATTTTTTCACTATATAACCATTGAACCAGCAACGCTAACCGACTATACTATAGGCAATAATGATTCTGTGTAAAAAAAAAGGAAAAAAGTTACTATAACAAGTGTATATTGAAAACTGACGAAGTTATGTAAAACGATAATAAAAAACTTAATGGAAAAAATGAGGAGGAGGAAGAAAAAGAAGAGAGTTGCAGAAAGTATTGTCTGCTTTTTTGCGCCTCTAACAATATATTTCTCTCTACATTGAATCGATTGGTTGATCGAGTTTGTGTTGTGATGAGGATGGATTCAACATTTGCCGATGTTGCGTGGTGAGGATATGACGATGAACGAAGTCATTATAAAGATAGCTCGTTAAAAAAAATTTTGAACGCATACATAATGTTGCCGTTCAAAAAGGTTTTTGATTTATAGCATTCAGATAATTTCGCAAAATATTTTTACACAAAATTTATGCCCAATGTTGATAATGATCATAATAATTTAATCAAAAATAATTTGTAAAATTTAGTGAAAATAATTTTTTTGCGACAAGTGCAGGAACATGATGTTTTTAAACCTTAATTCTATATAACTTCACAAGTTGTTTTTAAACTTAGAAATAAAGAAAACCAATTTTGATTTTGTTTGGTTGGTGAGTTTTATTATTTGCGTCGCGGTTCGAGTTTCAACGCAGCCTTTGCGCCTGGATGTGTACAGCCACTACAATTAAATTAGAATCGTTATTCAAGCATCCATGCGATTATTATTATTACCATAATTGAAATATTTATGAAGCGCTAATTTCAAAAATCTCAAAAGCGCTCTCTAACTTTACATAACATAATTGAAATAACAAAAAAAGAATAATTATGCATTGTACAGAAATAAAATTACAATTTTGCATTGAATAGAAAAAGTAATCAATGCGATATAACAAAAATAAAAATAATATATAGAACATGTCACCTAAACAAAAAGAATTTATCATTAATGCATTATAATAAAAATAAATAAGTTTTCAGTTTCTTCTTAAAATCACGCAGGTTTGGGTCCGGATTTCTGAGAGAAGCAGGCAGGTTGTTCCAAACAGTTCGTCCAGAAACAGCAATATTACGAGAGCCTACACGGAGAGTCGTGGTTGGGATCAACAACAGGTTTGAGACATCAGATCTTAAATGTGCTCCAGAAGCTTTTGAAACTCGTTTATAAACCTGTCAGACAAATATGATGGAACTAGACCGTTGATAGACATGTAGACGAGTATAGCCAATGAAGTACTTTCAATATTGGAGACACATGGTCATATTTTAGAGCTCCAACAACAACTTTTGTCGCTTGATTTTGTATCGATTGTAGTACCGCCATGGAGCGATCAGACAAGTCATAAAACAAAATTTTGCAATAATCGACTCATGTGCGCAAATGCACCAATCAACGTCTGTAATGTAGATGTGTCTAAGGATTGTCGAATTTGCTTGATTTTCCTGGTTTGAAACATGCGCTAGGCTAAGACTTTTTTGATGTGTTGTTTCATTGACAAACTTGAATCAATTGTAAAACCAAGGTTAACAAAATGTGTCTGACAAAATGGGATGACCTCATCATAAATAGTTATTGAATTTATATTTATCCTTGAGAGTTGTTGCCGTGTTCTTATTTGTAAAAAACCGTCTTGTTTTGGTTTATTTTTAAACCGTTGTTTTGCATCCATATATTGACCTCAGACAAACATTTGATCAATTTGTCCAATTCGGATTTGTTTGCTTGTCTGAATCTTGTTTGTTCATAACAATAATTTGTAAGTCGTTTGCAAAAGCATGACATGAAAAACCAAATAATTCTATTATCTTTGGAGCCAAACCTTGTGGCACACCAGACAACACAACATTAATCTCAGACAATTTACCACCGAATGATACCCGTTGTGATCTACCTACCAGATACTGCTTAAACCACTCCAGAAAAGCACCAGAATATCCAAAACTGAAACGTGGTCTTGTTAAAAGTATATTGCGAATACGCAATCAAATGCGGATGACATATCGAGAAAGACTAGCATTGACACATTTTGTTCATCAATAACGTTGTACACTTCTGAAAAAACTTGTAAGAGGGCTGTTTCAGTAGAATGCACACGCACATGCACATTAAATCTGTATAACATGTCTGAACAGAGTTAAAAATTTATTTTGGCAATAGATCGTTATTTATCAAGTAACTGAGTGTTTGCCTGGCCACCACACGTTCGATAATTTTGGATAGGAAAGACAAATTTGTAATTGATCTGTAATTTCCAACATCATTTTTATCCAGATTATGTTTCTGCAGACAGAGGAAAATTGGTCCTCATTCATACTTCTGTTAATCAGGCTTTCCAAAAATGGAGCAAATAGTTTTATAAACGTTTTTAATACGGGAGTAAATATAATATCATGTTGACATGACCTTGTAGGAGAATTTTGTACTGACTGTGTTAACTTCTCTTCAGAGGCCATAGAAAATGTTAAAAACAAATTATTGACACCTGATTGAAATTCTGATAGGCTTGGTCGATCACAATTGTTGATTGCTGCTTAGAACTGTATAATAATACTATAACTTTAAAACTCTTGATTTTATTTCCTATAATTTGGATAATTCTATTCCAGTGAATGTAGTCCTGCTTGATTTTGCCAAGGCATTTGATACTGTTCCACAAAAAAATTATTAGCTATAATTAAATGCTCAAAAAATAAATGGATTTGCATATAAATGGATTGAATCGTTTCTTAAAAACAAAAGGCAAAAAACTGTTCAAGGTTAAACTATTTATATTTTCTGACTGAGCTGAAATTTTTAGTGGTGTTCCTCAGGGCTCTGTTATTGGTCATCTACTCTTCATTCTCTACATCAATGACTTACCAACAAAACTGAAAATATACAAGAAAACTTTTTGCAGATGATACCAAAATCATGAGAGCAATATCGTCAGATAAGATGTAGTCGAACTTCAATCTGTTTTGAATAAGGCATTTAAATGAACGCAAGACTGGCTTCTACGGTTCAACATTGAAAAATGCACTGTTATGCACTACGGATCAAGTAATAAAAAATGTCCACTGTATATAAATGGAATACTTCTTGCTGAATCTGAATCCGAGAGAGATCTTGGAGTGATTTTTTTCAAATAACTTAAAATGGAAAAATCAGGTCATCACAGCATCAAACAAAGCAAACAAAATGCTTGGTCGAATAAAAAAATCTTTTTGGGAAATTTGATTATAAGTTGCTTCGTAATTTATACCTAGCTTTCATTCGTCCACTGTTGGAGTTTGCAGTATCAGTTTCGTTCCCAGATCAAAAGGGTGATAGCGAGGTAATCGAAAAAGTCCAGCACTGAACAATAAAGTAGGTACCATTTATAAGAAACCTAGCTTATGAAGTTCGTTTTAAAAAATTAGGATTAACAACCTTGGTAGAAAGAAAAAAAGAGAAGATTTGATTGAGTTGTTTAAAATCATGCATAATTTAGACAAAGTTGATTTAAATAATCGTATATTTGAATTTGAACAGAATTTTATTCGGCAAAAGCACCGGAGATCAAGATACATATGTATGTGTAGATCACCTTAACTAATACTGTGCATAGAAATCAAAAGACAATACAAAGTGAATTTCAAATTTTTTTTAAAGAATAAACAAAATTAAACAGAAATATTCAACAAAGGATAATTTAATAAATAAAAATTGAAATTAGCATGCCGTAAAATGGTTAGACAATATGAGCTTTAAAATTGATGCTTTAAAAAGACCCAGCGAAAGAGATGCTTTAGCATTATCCAGTAAGGAATCCCAAAGATGCATTGATGAAGATAACGCTGAGTTAAGGAAAAAATTAGATCTAGGCGTAAAGAAGTAGAAATCAGGATTATGACGTAAGATTTCACGTCTTGTATTCTTAAAAGCAGCAAGTTCATTATAGAACGATTGACAGAAATTTAATTTAGATATTTTAAAGAAAAGAAGTAGAAGACAACCAATATATAACTGATTAATACTACGAATATTAGCTAAATGAAAATATGGAATAATATGATCAATTTTATGTAAATTAAAATAAATACGAATGAAAAAGTTTTGAGCTAATGTCAATAAATGAAGATTACATTTAGGAGCTGAACCCCAAATAGAAATGCAATAAGTCAAATAAGGCAAAATGAGAGAGTTATATAGAGTTAACATATTGAACCTCGGAACTTTAAACCTTAAGCGATAAATTAAACCTAAATTTTTGGATAATTTACATGAAACAAGCTTTATGTGAGATAACCAAAATAATTTGGATGAAATATTAATACCCAAAAACTTAACAGAATGAAATCTTTTAACTTTACAATCATTTAAAACTATAATTAGAAAAACAATGTCAGTTCTTATCTTTGGTCCAAACAAGACAAAACAAGTTTTATCTAAATTGATAGGCAAATTATTTCCAACTACCCATTCATAAATAAGCTTTAACTCATCGTTAATAATAGAAACCAGAGTATTGATATCAGAATGAGAATAAAGAAGAGTAGTATCGTCGGCAAATAGAAAAAATTTAAGAATATTTGAAGAATTTATGAAGTCGTTAATATATATATTAAAAAGTAGAGGTCCCAGAATAGAACCCTGCGGAACCCCAGAAGAAATAGGAGAAAGCAAAGACTTTAAGTTATTTATAGAAACATACTGAAAACGATCAGACAGTTATGAAGAAAACCATTTATAAGATAAACCACGAATACCATAAGAATATTGTTTAGACATTAAAATATTATGATTTAAAAAATCAAAGGCCTTACAAAAATCAATGAAGACGCCTATAGAGTATTTCTTAGATTCTAGTGCAAGAGAAATATAATTTATTACATCTGCAACAGCAAATTCAGTAGACAATTTGTCATAAAAACCTTATTGATTAGTGCAAATAACATTATAAGAATTAAAAAATTTATTAAGACGGTTTAAAACAATTTTTTCAATTAATTTGGACAAAAACTGGACGATAATTATTAATGGAATGAACGATCACCAGATTTAAATAATGACAAAACTTTGGAAATTTTTAAACTCTCAGGGAAAAACCATTTTTAAAAGATAGATTGATTATATGAAGCAACGGTAAGATTATGTTATGAATAATATTTTTTAATACAAAATTAGATATGAAATCATCACCACAACTAAATAGAATTTTTAATATTTTTAACGACATCAATGATTTTAAACGGAAGGCATTCAAACAGAACAAATGTATCCAAAAACCCCTGAACATATTTTTTATAACCGGAATCAATGACTGAAAATGAGTAAAATTATTAACATTATTCGTTGACAAAAAATAACTATTAAAATGATTACGCAGTAATGCATCGTCCATGATAAAATTATTATTAATCATAATATTTTGTGGTGTTGGACGTTTAAGTCCTAGACAAGATTTCAGTATACTCCAGGTACGTCTACCGTTAGATTTACATTTAATTAATTGGTTATCATAATAAATATTTTCAGATAGTTTACACAACCTTGAAAACATATTTTTATATTTACCATAAGCTTATTTATTAAGTACAGACCTGGAATTTAAGAATGTTTTATATAATTTGTTTTTAGTTATAGAGGATATTACCTGACCCTTAGTAATCCAGGGTTTTCTCTTGTTAGTTTATTACGGTATTCTTTACAGTTAATAATAATTGCATTTTTAATAAAATCTCAAAATAATGTTATAATACTCGCTGTCGTAACCGATTTACGATGCGACGGGTTCAAACCTTCGATGGAATAAAATACTCCAAACAGTTATTAGTTATTAAACTTTATTTACAGAAGAAATCAACTAATCGTTTATTTCCAGCAAATTCAAACTAACGCAACAATTAACTTTTAAATTGTTCAAAATCTATCGCTATGACAACGTCAACAAACAAATCAAATATCGCTTTAAATAATTCACCGAATCGCTATTCACAAAGTCACAAAATCACGAATTTCACTAATCACAGATTTCACTAATCACGAATCTTCTTGCGACGTGCGCTTATATACTTTTCGCGAGCGTCGTTTCTAGATTCTTCAAGATGGTCCGATTCTAGCATACTCTAGAATGCTCCAGTCACTAGAACATTCTAGAATACGCTAGAATCTAGTGCGTTCGGTAGCACGGTTATAACAATAATTTAAATGCCAAATCCGTATCACAACAATTCAGGATACTACTCCAATCATAGTTTATGACATACAAATTCAATTTAGAAATATTTGAATCAGAATATTTAAAAGATAAAACAGTGGAATTAGGCAAAACGAGACTAGGAATAATAAATGAAGTAAAAATAAGAAAATGATCAGAAAAAAAGAAAATATAATACTAGACTTATGATTTGTAATGTTATTAGTGAAAATGTTGTCAAGTAAAAATTTATTAGTAACAGTAACACGTGTAGCAGTTGAAATTAATGAAATAAAACCGAAGAAATTGAGTAGATTAAGAAATTGAGTAGGGTAATGTCTATAGTCACCACCGAGTAAATTTATGTTAAAGTCTCCAGTAATGTAGACATTTTTAAATGCACCGGATTTAATATTCATAAATAGTGAAGTTAAATCATTTAAAAACAAAATAATATCAGTACTCGGAGGACGGTATAAGACAATAATCAAAAACTTAGTGTTATTGTTTACAAATATTTCAACTAGAATCGATTCAAAAGTAGATGAATGGTAGGCAAATCATCCAGAGTCACATACTTTAACCCATTTTTAACAAACAAACCAACACCCCCACCACGATTATTCCTGCACACAATATTATATCCAGGCAAGCTAACCAAATCAGCCGTAACAGAAGTTAACCATGTTTCGGTAACAGCTATCAAATCAAATCTACAACCACATGAATTAATAAGTATATTAAATTCAGTAAACTTATTAAGTAGACTGAGACAGTTAACATGAAAAATACTAAAATTACATGTATCAACAAACGTGCTTACATTCTCAGGTAAAATTAAATAACAGTCAAGAGAAATACCATTGAAAACATTAATATCAGGATCAACGTCCTCAAGTTGACGGAGTTTACTATTGGAATAAAGCATATCTTTCATCTCTGAAACGTCGATGATGTTGGATGACCTCAACGCATTGTCCATTACAGTGTTCACAGAGGAAAACATGTCTGGATATAAATCACTATGTGCCGCCATGGTTGGTAGACGTTTTTTCATGATTATCTACATTCGCTGTCGACTGTTCTTTGTTGGTGTTTTTGTTGTTGGATTACTCCATGGTGTGGTCATTGATTTGATTGGGATGTTTGTTGAATATCCAATCTCTGATGATAACATCTGAAGGCCAGATATTAGGATCTCTTATTTTCACAAGATCTTGCTTATCAATACATATACTAAATGCATTTGCCAGGAAATTGTCTTTCAATTCAGAATTATCATCTGGTTTTTTTTCCTTATAGGATAACAAGAGATAACATTAATGTGATTAGCTTTTAGCTCATCTATCACATCAGCACTCGTGCAATCAAAAAGGTTACCAATATATAACCGGAAACTCGGAATCTTCTTTGCCTTAAGTTTTACAGATTCAGTTTTGTTACCAACAACTTTGTGGAATTTTTTAGGTACAATGAGTTTGTGGCTGTCTTCCAGGTTGTGAACTTCAACTCCAAGTACATCTTCATTGACATCTTTGATTTCATGAGTCAACGTTCGCTGCTGTTTATTTTTACGTTGTACCAATGAAAACCCATCTCCGGCTAGAGATTTGGCCAAATCTGAAAAAAAAGGTTGGGAGTTTTTAGGCAATAGCTGTTGTTGTGGAAATGGTTGCTGCGAAAATTTACCACTAATGTCAATTTTTGCTGAAAGATTGTCAACTCAACTGGTCAAGGAATCAATTTTTTTTCTCTGTAGCCGAAAGCTGCATCAGATGGCTTAACAGCAAGTAAATATTTTTCAACAGAATTCACTAAATGAAGAATTTTAGCTTCAAAAAAAACTAAACTTATTTTCAATGATGTTCATTTTGTTATTCAACACCTGCTGGCCATCGTTACTTGTTTCAGTGATATCAGGAAAATTAAAGCCACCTGCTAGGTATAGTGGCAGCTTTTCAATTTTTTTTATCTTTTGCAACCTTCAACAAGATGAAAATTTCCTCTAGGTCAATTTTAGGATTTAATTTGGATCCTGTTTGTTTAGTCCTCTTTTTTTTTTTTTTACTTTACTGAATCTCCCATAATGAGTTCTTTGGATTCATTAATGAAATTTGTAGAATAGTAGCAGGAACATTTTTTCAATAATAAATAATTGTCAACATTATCAATTTTATTTGTAAAAAAAAAATAGTAAGTCGTTAATCACTATTGTTCTGTCAGCACAATCTAACATCGTGTTAGACGCCATACCAAATAACTCATAACACAACGTTCACAACTGTATGCTATATTAAACACTCCCAGCAACTTATGACAAACTTGTCAGCACAACCATTTTTCAATATAAATAAAAATCGAAATAACTAATTAATTTAATTAAAAAAATATATCAATTTATTCGATAATTTAAAAATACCAAAATACGCTTCTTAGTTTAAGCTATAAAATGTATCCACAATTAACAATATATCACCAAAAAAAAAATTTGAAATCACAAAAAAAAACGAAGAAATTGAAAAACGGTCATTTCCAAAGCAAGCAGATACACACACACACAACACACACACACACACACACACACACACACATATATATATATATATTTTCTTTTGGGTATTTCAGGTTGTAAATTTTATGTATAGCCCTGCTCTCATTGAACCTCAACTTTTTATAAGTAATTTTGTAAAAATTTGAAAATATTTTTATTAATCAGTGGATTTTATTATAATTCGTTTTGATATTCTTCACGTTTGATGACAATTTCACTCCACTGAAACTGTCCTGCTACATGTTCTCTCAGGGGTTTATGCTGAGATGGATGCTCAAAACATTTCCTTGTTAGCATTCTTGGACATGTGCTCGGCTTTCGACTGTCAATCATGAAATTTCACTGCTCAGGCTGCATCAAAATTTTGGAATATCTGGGAAAATAATAAATTGGCTCAGAAGCTACTTGATCGGCCGAACACAGCAGATTTCGTTCAACGAGAGTTTGTCCTACGTCAGTGTGGTTCGCTCTGGTGTGCCGCAGGGATATGTTTTGGGTCCTTTATTGTTTCTGCTTTTTACATCTGATGTGCTGAAGATAATTGATTCCTATGATTTTACAAGCCATGCATATGCAGACGACATTTAAATTATGTTATCAGGTAAACCGAAGTTATTTCAAGACGAAATTACGAGATTCATTGAATGTATGTCGGAGGTTAATCTGCGGATGTCGAGAAATGAATTGAAGCTTAACCAGAGTAAAACAAAATTTCTTCCTATTGGTACCTAGCAGCAGTTGGCAGACTTGGATATAAATTCAGTTGTTATGGATAATAAAAAAATATATTTCTGTAAAGCAGTGTCGAACCTAGTTTTTATAATTGATTCAAACCTAACAATGAAATCTCATTTTAAAATGATCTTTATATCATGCTTGACACAGATTAGAAGAATGAAACGAATTCGAGAATCACTTGATAAAGACGCAATGCAGACTCTGGCGCACGCGTTGGTGCACTCACGTGTCGATTATTGCAATAGTTTATTTTATGGACTCCCGGCTAGATCCATCAAAATTCTGCAATCGATACAAAACCGTACTGCCTGGATTGTGGCTGGATGTCGATGGTATGATCATGCCACGCCGATCCTAGATTTAAAAAATGTGGATTGACAACACTGGAAACAAGAAGATGCAGAGGAGATCTAATGCAGACATACAAATTGATTACCAAGAAAGAAGAAACACCGTTTACCAGATTTTTTCAACTGGAGATTAGAATAGGATTACGAGGCCACAGATACAAGCTTTCCAAAAAAATAGAAAGTGCGGTCAAGCAAAGATTCTTCAGCAGTAGAATAGTAAACACCTGGAATGATCGGAAAGTTAGGATATTAGGACACTTATCTCGCAGTGGTTCTCACACAGACTCTAATCTACTCAACCACTTTGAACCCTGTTATATTATTTATAAAAATATGTACACACATGAGCACATTACTGATTGCAAGCAACATGGAAACAATCCCATGCACACACACCACAGAAAAATAGAGCCTAACACGAACAGACATTGCTGAAGAAAGTGTTTGGTTGACGTCAAATGGCTATTGCGAAGATTTATGAGGCCCACCAGCATCTCCGCACTTGACTGCTCCAAATTGAAAGTTTAATTTGTTGAAGAATTGCTACGTTTGTTAAATTTTTGGGTGATTTTATGCATGGATCATTTTCACTCTCAGTTAAATTGAACTGCTAAATGTAATTTTAAGTAATTTAAATAATCATTACATCTGAAAATTTTTATGAAAAAAATCTGTTTTACAAAGCCTTTTTTTCTCTGCACTTAACTTGTCTAGTTTAAGTTTTTAAAAAGTATTTTTACCTTCAAGTTACAAAACATGCAAATTCACTTTTGACTTCTTTTTGAAACGTTTTGTTAGATTCTTGTTTGACTTGCTGCACTTTGTTCAAGAAATCTTTATATCGGCTGTCATTTTGCCTGAATGTGAAAATGAAAAATTAGTTCATAATAAAAAATGCTTTAGGGTTTAATTAGTGGTTTACAATAGTTTATGTCTGCATAATTAGACACTGCCTACCAACAAAACTTTATATTGAATCATTTTAAAGACGATCGGCTCAAAAAATTGATAATCAAAGTTGCAGTCGTTTTTCATCAGGTTCTAAAATTTATGAGGATTATGTTTATGACGATGGTGATATTTATGACTGTGGTTATGATTGTGGTGTCAAAGTTCACAGAGGTCCTGATGATGATAATGAAAAATCAATGACAATGTGATAAAAATAAACTTATTTTGACAGGCTAATGCAACGCTATATGAACATCAAAGTTTACATAATTTATTATCTCCAATCGAATTCTTCCTAAGATTCCAGCCAAATTTTGACAGAATTATTGGTAATAAATTAAAAAATTTTTATTTGAACAAGAAAAAAACTAGCATCCACCATCAGAGGTAAAACAAATATTTTGTTAAAAAAGTGTTTTTTTTGTATTCGAGCAACATTGGTGTCAGAAAAAGAAGATTGATCACTTCAACTAATCTGTTGCGAACTCCAGGCATTCGTCAGCGGGAGAGATCCCATTTTAATATGTTTAGTTGTTCAGCTGTTGATTTGTTTACTCTTCATTTGTGTCGTTGTTCCTGGTTTTGTTGTTTACTTACTTTTTTGTTAGTTCAGCTCTTCGTTTGCTCAGTTCGGTTTATTTTGTGTTATTTATTTATTATTTAAATTCACTTTTCAGTTGCTTTTTGAACATTTGAAATCTCTGCGCTCTCAAACCAAATCACACGACAACCTGACAGTTAAACTAATAAAGACTAATATATATTAACCACATCATCCACCCTTTGCTACCACCAATCAAAACTATTTCACACAACTTTCGTCAACGTAAACATATGTAATTATTAAAACACCACTCAATCAACTTAACAAGATAAAACATGCCAAGACATCTTAAATCATATACTTATAATGCCCATACTGGCCCTCAAACGCACTCGTACATTTTCAGTGCCTTTTGGGTCTGGAGTCATTCTTTAGTTTTCATGAACAAATAAATTCATCAAATTCTGTAATTTTTAGTTTTGTATAATTTATTAATAATTTTCATTTACTATTTCAAGATTTTATTTTTTATTATTTTTTAATTATTAATGGATTTTAATAACAATTCAGCATATTTAGTTTTTTTTGTCTGGCGTCATATGAATAGTCGATTCATACGACTCCGTATGATTACATTTTATGATAAAATATTTTACCTAAAACATATTAACACTCAATAATCATTAGTCATTTGTTTGATTTTGTTTATTCTGTTTTTACAATGAACATATTACAATTTATTTATTGAGGTGTTAATTAACTAATTTCTTCATTTTTTTATTAGTTTTTCTGCTAATTAATTTTCTTAATTTTATAATATTGTCTGAAATTTTGTTACCAGATTCCGATTTGTTTTAAAGAATAATAAAAATTATATAGAAAACACGATCTTAAAAACATTTTCAGAATAAAAAATAAATTTTTTTAGATACACAATATTTTTCAGAGTTATCCAATTTACGTCGATCGTACGAGGCATCAACCTCAGCCATTCTTAAGAATATACACTTGCATTCAATTCTATGGCAGTCTTCTTAGCTCTTGCAGTTAAACTATTTTTAAACTTATGAGATTCAGTGAGCCTGATCAATCATTTTCAAAACATTGGTAACATTATTGCCAACATCAAAAAAATAAGTTTTTTGTTAAGAATTTTTCCTAGTTAATTTTTTAACAGAACATAACTGTTGGTTAATAATAACAATGTTATAAATTAACATAAATTGGTAGAGCATTCAAAAAACGACAAACAAACAACTATTACACAAATGAAAGCAAACAACAAACAAACGAACAAAAACGAACAATAAACAGACAAACGAGTAAAACGAGTACAAACAACAGAACGTGGTTGATTAAGTTTTGGACTTCCCGACGCATGCGGTGCAACGTAATGACATATTTTCATATGTGCGTTTCTAGAGTATGTGTCTGAAAAGAGATGCAAAGGTTTTTGAGTCGCCGATGTTTTAAAAATGTTCCATTATATCAAAAGTTTTCCAATGCTATTATTATTTATTTAAGCAAAAAAAATATTTAATGAAAAGTGGGATGAAAAATAACTGTACGGTTGCCACTTGAGTGATTGTAAAACAAATCAATAAATTATTAAAATGACTAAAATAAACTTGATCTTAAATAACTTTTTGATTACACATTTTATCGAATTTGTAAATTTTAATAAATAAACGATATATTATTGAAATCGAGAATTCCGATAAAAACGTAATTTATATGTTTATCGTTTTTTATTTCAGCGTTACAACTCTTATCGCGTTAATTTTGTTTGTTTTCTTTTATGTGGAGCGCAAAAGTTAAATGTGAATTAATAATTCATTAGTAGTGCATATTTTCTTAAATGTTTTCACTAGTTGAATTATTGATTTTTGTTTATGATGATTTTGAGGTGGAAATAATTAAATATTTATAATTATTAAATTAGTAATTTTATAATTATTGTTAGTTTAAATATTGCTTACAATGTTTTCATTTTTCATCGCCAGATTATTATTATTAATAATTTAGATCGCGTCCTATGCATAGCTTCAGGGGCACTTGGACAAACAATGACTTTTGACGGCCTGGATACACAAAAAGTTCTTTAATCGTTTCCTAAAAAGTTTGATGGTTGGCTGTTGACAAATAATGGCAGACAAACCATTCCATATGGAAGAAGAGCTGTACGTAAAACATTTGTTGACAACTGATGAATTGCTGACAGTTTGATGCAACTGAGTATATGAAGACGAACGAAGTTGACGAGTTGACGAATGACGCGATATAAGTTGATGAGGGTGTGATGGTTGAAATGTATTTTATGGAACTTGTACATGAGGACGGCAAGTTTAAATATAATGCGTTGACGTACTGGTAAGCATTGTAGTTGAATGTGTGAATCTGTGCCGGAAGAAAATTCCTGATATTTAAAACAACTTTTGCAACTCTATTTTGAGCTTTTTGAAGTAAAGTTTAAAGGTAGGAAAAAAGACCGTAGAGAAGAGAATTACAGTAATCTAAACGTGATAGTACGAGACATCGAGCCAGTGCAGAAGCAATACTTTCAGTGATAAAATTACGAATATGACGAATAGTCCACGTATAATAGTTACCAGATTTTATCAAAGCTAAGGCATTAGAATTAAAAAAAAGAGAAGAGTCAAAAGCTAAGCGTACAAATTTAAATTTAGACGTTGAGGAGAGAGAAGGATCAGCCGAGAAAACGTGTGATGGGAGGGACATTTGATAAGCTGTTGCTGAGTACTTAGAAACATTACTTCAGATTTGTAAGGATTTAGTTGAAGAAAGTTTGATAAATGCCAATCGTTTATGGCCATAGCACGTGCGTTTATGTTGTCAAGCTGAGATATATGATTAGAAGTGGGAATTTTAGTTATTATACATGTGTCATCAGCGTATTGATGAAAGAGTAAGCCAAAAGTGTTAATGATATTAGAAATAGGAGAGGTATAAGTAGTGCAAAGAATGGGACCAAGAACAGACCCTTGAGAAACTCCAGTGGATAAGATAAAGCTAGAAGAGTAGGAGTTAAGTTTAATATTGAAAATGATTAAAAAGATAAGATTGAAACCAAGATAAGGCAGATCCCATGATGCCATATTCTGCCTCAAGTCTATCAATAAGCATCTGATGATTAATGGTGTCAAAAGCTGCTGAAAGATCCAGGCTGACCATGACAGCCCAATTTTGGTTTCCACATATGTTAGCAAGTTGGTCGTGAACATAAAAGAGGGCTATTTCTGTAGAATAACATTTTTTATAAGCGATTGAAAAGGAGAGAAATTAGGAGATGAAGTAATATGAATGAGAATCCTGTTCAAGACAATGCGTTCAAGTAATTTAGAGAAAGTTGAAAGGTTGGAAAAAGGGCGGTAATTAGAAGGATCAGATGGATCATGGTTAGATTTTTTTAGCAAAGGTAGAATTTGAGCTATTTTAAAAGAAGTTGGAAAATGCTGTTTTCTAGAAAAAAATTACAGAACTTAGGAAAAAATGGAGCAAATAGTTGAAAAAATTTTTTATGAATAAAAACTGGAATAATGTCAAGCGGAGATGTTTTGTTGGGAAAAGAATTGACGAATTTTAAAACTTCTTCTGAGGTGACCGCTGAAAAAGAAGAAAAGAGAGAGGAAAAAAGAGGTCTATGGTTTGATAAAAGAATATTAGAAGAAGCAATTTTTGTAGCAATAGATTGATGAATAGAATTTATTTTGTCCTTGAAAAAGTTAGCAAAAGAAGATACAAGAGTAAGAGATTAAACATCAGAAAAATGATGATCTGAGCGTTTGTGAAGAATGTTGTTAAGAGAATGTCAGAAATCACGAAAGTTGCTGCAGTTGTTGAGAGTGTTCTTAATAGAGTCGATCCTAGACCTCATAATGGCATCACGAGCAACACGTTTAGCATTTTTATAGTTGACGAAGTTCAGCGCTGATTTTTCATGTTTGTAGTGACGTTCCATACGACGACAATTTTTTTTAGCAGCTATTGCTTTTTGGAATAAAAAACAACGAGGGTGGGAGCTCTCACAAAACGAGTAATGCTTGATTGGTGCGTGTTTGTTGACGATGTTATTTAAAGCTGTGTTTAGAGCTGACGCAAACTCATCGACTTCCAAATGTTGTGAGAGCAAATCATCAAATGCTCTGTTTAAATCATTTTCGAATGACTTGTAATTTAAAAGACGAAAGCTGCTACGGCAGCAATGGATGATTGTCGATGGGGGTTTGAAGAGCGTTGAGTTGAAACACACAATGTTGTGATCTGAAAAACGCAATCATTGACAGGTTATCTACAATGTTGTTGTTGGTATGAATGATTACGAAATCCAAAAAATTTCCATGTACATGTGTAGAGGAGCTGACGTGTTGAGCGAGATTGAAGGATTCTAATAACGAAGATAAGTGATGATCAATACCCAAGAGAGGTGCTTGTTCGTTGAAGTCGCCGCGGATGATAAACGGTAGATTATGGCCAATGATGAAATCTAGATGATTGGTAATTTTTTGGGTGGTAAAAGACCAAGAAGTTTTTCGCGAATTCATTTGGTTGTCATAGCGAAAATTATTTGACAAAAGCGACAAATTGCGAGATAGACTAAACAAGTAGCATTGAAAAACTTGATTATGATGAATTGTAGTGGCAGTTAAAATTATTGATGATTTGATGATAAAAGAAAACCGTTAAAATTTAAATTAAAATCGATTACTATGACGACGATGATGAAAATTTGTTGAATTCATAATAAATTTTAAAACGAACTGTAATACAGCACGAAATCTTTCGCAAATTTTTAAAACGTTGTCAGAAAAAATTAATTATTGTTTTTATTGAAGGAAAATGAGCAAAAACTTTAGTTCATAACGGAAAATTTAGTGATTGAAAATCCAAAACACGATGTTGAGTAAACCATCAAAACCATAGACATCGCAAACCAAAAAAAACCTCGTAAATATTTGTTCCCATTTGTGTTGTGATAGTGAGAGCTCCTAGGTTAATTGTGCACTTCTAGTTGTTAGTGTTAATAAATTAATTTGTGTATTCGATTTCATTTGCGAATTTCTTTTGTATACGACATTCGTATTTGACCACCCATGAACAACGTCAATTGAACGCGAACGAGTGGCCGAACCATAACTTCTGTTGTTTGTAAATGTGTTTCATTGCGTCAAACGTAAGTGAGTTGTGTGTCAGCGTGATAAAATTCCATTTCTGCTTAGGTCGATACTATTTATTATTCAGTACATAAGATTGTAAGCCATTGTTTAAGTTGTCTTAGCTATCTTCGGTCCTGTATTTGATTAGTCAGTAGACACAGAGTTTTAGCTGGCTTCGCAAAGTAATTTGTCAGTTGCGTTTGCATTAAGTAACGCACTTTTTTTAGGCAGCTACGCTAAAATTAAAAGTTGTTCAGCGGCAGCTGTACTTTCTGAGATCCGTTGACAGAGTGGTAGCAATAGGTTGCTGTTGTCGAAATCGGTCGTACCAATCGCAGGTAATAAAGAGTTATTGAATTTGTTAATCACTGCGTACTCATACACACACATAAACGCACACACGCACAAACAAAAGCCAGAGCCACACAGGTCTGCTCGAAATCGATACGCAACAACTAAAAGTAGTGGTTGCAGGGCTAGATCTACTTATTAGTTTTGGTAATTAGTCATGAGATAGAGAGCCAAAAAAACCAGAGTCGACAGTTGGCGCCCAACTGTTGTGTACTAGTGATATTTAACTTCAATCGTAGGGTAGAGTTGAATTTTGGGGTTAGGACTTCCAAAGTTGTACAAAAGGAAAAAAAACCTCGGCAATATTTACTTATTTCTTGAAAAGTTGCATCAATTAAAATACAGGACAGCTTGAGAAATCACATGCTTAGTTAGCATAAAAATTTGCTCATGTTTGATTAAATGTAATAGATACTTGTTTAAACAGCAAGAATGTTGAATGATAAACTGCTCATTATGCGCTAAAGGTGTTGGTAACTTTGTTAAGACTTTAAATTGATTTAGATTTCCAACAACAGTAATATTAGCGGATTAATTTTGTCTCTAGAATGGATAGGGTTGTTGATATGTTTCTAGAACATAATTAAAAGTTTATCTGTCTGCTTGCTTGTTGCTTGTTTCGATGTTGCGTCGATTTGTTTCATTTGTTGATGTTTCGATTTGCTCCAACCCAGGTATCATTTAATTATTGAAGCGCCACAAATCTCAAACATGAAACAAAATCGTGTTCTGTAAATGAAAAAAATTTATAAGCAGTTTTTGATTTTAGATGCACAAATAATTTTCATTATTTCTAAATTACAATTATTAATCTGTCCTGAGCTTTAACGAACTTTAAAAATGTTATAAGAGGCTGCGAAAATGTATTATTGTATCAAATGCGCCCATATTATAAAAACCTTGTTGATTTTACATCGCTTTTTCAAAAGACTGATGCGGTAGATTGCATTGCAAACATGACTAAATAGTTGAGAGGCCGCCAATGATGTCTGCATGAAAAATAATATTCGACAAAATGAATTTGTTTATTTTGGGTCTTTTCATGCAGACGAACGAATTGGTCCTCTAGCCTCTCTCATTAATTTTTTTCTTTGTTACATTTTTGGTCTTATAATTATTTAATCGTAGTGTTCGTTATGTTACTAATTGGGCTAATGTAAAACGGACCACAGTCAAAATTAATAGCAATTAGTTTTGTTCGTTTCAAAACATTTTCTAATAGTTAATAAAAAATGAGAGCCCTCCTGATGTATCAAGCGATCTTGCGCTAAAAATGAAATGAATGATTTATCTTCTTTGTACGTTGATCAGCATACAAAAAGTTTATTTACAACATACCTTTTGCACTAAGGTTAAACAGCGTAAGTAGCAGCAGCATAAGTACAACACAAACGTTTTCATGCAATCCGCGTATATTACAGTCACACGCATCTTTAAGTACTGCATACGGTTGTACACTCGTCTTTAATGTAACAATATCGGGCATGTACTTTTGTGTGAAGTGCCGACACACACATTGCATATCTGCGTAAACATTTTCTATTATTCGAGTATCTTTATGGATTCGTGTTGTTTGCATTACGCTAAAATAAATGCCACGATTTCATGCCACGTGTTCTCTGTATGCGTCTGTGTTACGAAGTGAGTGTGAATGTGTTTGCCTGCCTGGTTGATTGAATGATGTTATTTCAGTTGTTAGAACAATTCACTTTTAGATGAAATCCAAAAAAAGCTTCACTTGCACCATTAGGAACATTTAAGTAAATGAAATCAAAACAGTTGTTCCATTATTATTCAAACTAAAACAGTTTGTATTTGAACCGCTCAACCAAGTGATGAATTTCTGAGTGTTTAATTTTTAGAAAACTGTTCGTAACCTTCAACAGCCTCTTGATTGATTGGTTGATTGATTGATTAGTTGGATGATTTATTGATTGGTTGGCTGTTTGATTGATCGGTTGATTGATTGGTTGGTTGATTGGTTGATTGATTGATTAGTTAGTTGATTGATTGGTTGATTGATTGACTGATTGATTGATTAGTTGGTTGATTGATTGATTAATATGGCCACCAGGTCTGTTATTCCTGTTTTCTTAACAACTTGAGTTGTTTCTGCTAACGTCAGGATGTAAGCAAGAATCACTAGTCAGAAGTCAGGCGCCACTGCGTGCCAACTCGTCAAACAAACTATTAATATTCAAGGGTGAAAAATTAAAATCAATCAATCAACAAAGAAGACATGTTTGATCTGATCCGATTATATTTGAGTTTAAAGAATCTGCATAATGACATGTCTCGTAAATATTTTTTGTATATCAAATGAATTAAAAATAAACATCCAAACCCAAACCCACAATTATTTACCAGTATTTTTAATTAGTGAAAATTAGTAAAATAATTATCATAAAACTAAACATCAGACATGTCTTCAATTTTAATGGTTGCTCTCCTGAAAGTTCATCGAGAAATCTCAGGCAACACGTCATAGTCGACGAACTAGTAGTTGTCGTTTGCCATGTTGAAGACTAAATAAAGTTTGTCTGCATCTGATTTGGCTGCAGCCTGTTGGATCAATTGTTGGATTATTGCACTTTTTAACAATTCAGTGCTGGAATTCTGGTTTTTATTTGCAGTTGTTGCGAAGTCATGTTAAATTCTCAACAATATTTGTTAGCTTATCCACGTTATTGTTGTGCCGTACTATTGCAATTTTTTTTATGTGGCTTATCCAAGCAGTCATTTCATAACCACAAAACAACAGTACAACAATGAACCCCACAACAACCACACAATTAGCACACAACTAAATCACAGCACCACAGAACTACAACACAATAACTACTTAGCAACCACACAATTAGCAACCACGCAACTTACACACACACACACCTTGCATATGCATACCTACATACATATACAGACAAATGCTGACAAACGATAAAGTTTAAACGATAAAGCAATTACGTTTTGTGGCCTAGTAATGAGTTGGCACTTTATAAACTATAACAAATTCTGAAGCGCTCCTATGTATGTATAGTTTAGCGTGTGTCCCTGTTTGTGCATGTGTAATGTGAGTCTGTGCATGTTTGTGCACGTGAGATGTTTAAGTTACTATAGAATTTGAAAAAACTAAACTTAATTAAATAAGTTGTATCTTGTATCATTTTATGTATTAATATGAATCGATGTTTGTATGTATGTTTACATTTGTGTGTGTGTATATATATATTGTCGGAAATTTTAAAATAATAAATTAATGAGGAGGAGGATTTTTAAAGGATGACAAAGCCCCAAGTTGGGCGCTAATTGTCGGAAAATTTATAAATGAAAACAATTAAAACAACTGGTGGTGTGAGGTAATCTCCTCCTCTATCTTTCTCAGGGAATTTTTGTATGGTCCGACAATAATTTTTGTGTATATTTTTATCGTGAGTTCGACCAGTCCTGTGTGGCACTGGGCTTTTTCGAATTATATGATTTTACTGAGTAACACACGAACGCGTAAAGAAAAATATTCGATAACAATTTTATTAATCGACGGAAGTAAATAAAAGGAATTGAACTAATGAACTCTATAATAATGTAAATGTCAATGAACAAACTGGAATACAGGAATTAGAACTCTTCTTGTTGGGTCTTCAACTTGGGATATGTTTGTTGCCGTTTAATCGTAAAACCTCGACGTGTGTATCCGATGGTGATGTCGATACAACTCCAAGAAATAAATAAAAAAAAATGAATCACAAAAATCGGAGCCTATGGAAATTGCAAGCTGCGTGTGAAACTATACCAATGAGTATAGAATCCAGCAAAGAACCCTAGGTCCACAAATAGCACAAGAAAGAAAAGAAGGAGGCGGATTCGTTTCACAG